GGGGGGGGGTCCGGACCCCCTGGACACCCTCTGTACACGCCCCTGATATATAGGCGGCTTTTACAAATTATAAAGAATGTGACATGGTTTTCTGTAAAGCAAAAAAAGTGTAAAAATAAAAATATGAAATGTATGCGTGCATATTATAATTTTATTCACTGAAATAAGTCCATATATATCCGTCGTCACTCGTCAGCCATGAGCAATACTGTCTAGTACGAAAATAGGCTGTCAAAAAGACGGCGAAACGGCATTTTCACCATGGCATTTTGGAACGCATGTTGAATAAATGCGGAAATCATGAGAATATTATGTGGAATTCAGGAACATAAACTTCTAGTACCGTACGTGAGCTGATTTATGCCGCGCGGAGGCATTATCCAACATCGCAGTTTGATGAAAAAATTGTCAAGTCATTGGCTTCTATTCTCGAGGAATTGTATAATCATGCGTCAAATTAACGTTATTTCTAATGAAATTAGACTCTAATATGTCCTTTGTGGTCTTTAAAACAACTCCATATATTTACACTGCTTTCAACCGCGCAAAACACGTGCTGGCCCTGGATGCAGACTCGTTCTGAGTTCTCAGATGTAAGGTCAGCGACTGAGTTCAGCGTCTTCGGCCACCCACCGCCAGGTTCGCTGCAAGACACAATATGAAAATATCCTGCCGCAGCGGAACTAACAGATCACGTGACCCAACAACGGTGATGGCCGCTAGCAGCAAATGCATGGAGACTTATAAAACAATTGTTTGTTTTTCTGCTTCAGAAATAAGTGGACTACACTAACAATGACGGGCTGGGCACGTGTGTCCGATAGGGAGAAGTATGGCGTAGGTGAGTGCTTGACAAAAACCCTACCAGTGTGTAAGTGCATGGTCTACTGTCTCAGTTTCAGGGTGGTCACAATCAATCATGACATGATCATGATCACAGGCACTTGAAGCGTTTCAATAAAATATAATGCTAACTAAATTAAGATATGACGTTCTCGTACTCGTAGTCAGTGGCTGATGGCGCACTAACGATTACCTAATCGTAAGGTTTACAGTTAGGGCCCGTGTTCATGCCGGAGCGTGGTTGAATCCGTTGCACACCAGCGCCAGCTTACATCCCTCGACCAAGCTTCCTTTCATTCGCCGTACGTCGCGTGCGATGTCGCAGACGACGATGTAGGAATCGTGACTGGGTATAGCCGATGAGCAGGCGGGGACGATGGCCGCCGAGTTGCGCGTAGCTGAGTTCCTTCCCCGCCAGGAAACCGCGGGACCGGGTCGTGTCCGTACGTGGTCGCGACAGTGCGCGTGGTTCCGCGTCCACCAACCGACCGCCACCAAGGCGTATTGCATCGTAGGGCTGTACACGTTCGCTGAAATATATGAGCCGATTCAGGATGGTTGTCCTTCCAATTTTGGCCGCGTCCATGATCAACACATTGGGGGATGTCATTGGGAAAGACTTACGTAGAATAATGGCCGCGTGCATTACTGAGCTCTTTGTCAATGACGTTCAAGGACGTTAATCGTCTGATATTTATTTGATACATCGTTGGTAGTCGTTTGGAATAAAACGGACAATCTGCAAAACTGGAACTGTAGCGGGTAGAGCCCGACGTTCCATATGTCATAACAATAACAGCAATAACTTGTTGAAGCGCCCCTGCTTAATTAGCACGCAGCCCCTATACAATACAACACTAGTAGGCCTACTATGATTGAAAACGTCGACTGTCCAGCAAGACACCAGCAGTCCCGCAGCGCAGTTATTAAACGAAATAATAAACCTAATAACGAGATTACACTATTAAACTCTGTATTGTCTAGTATGAAGCCGTCAGGTGCCGTCGAGTTTCGTTTCCGGCGCAGTCGCGTTTTTCGATGCTCGCCCGATCTCGCTTTTCTGCATCGGTCGTCGTCAATTTTCGCAAACGCCGTCATCATTGCTCCAGTGAATTTGCCGATCCGGCGCCGTCACGCTTTTTGTTGTTGTCAGAGAAGTAGTAGTAGTGTCATTTTCTGTCACCGCCGTCATCATTTTTCGCCGGTGTCATCGTCAAAATTGACGCATTTGGCACTCGCGGCCGAGCGATGTTCGAGTTCCGTTCACCTGAAAAATTGTTACGAAAATGGTGCAGGTTGGCGCAGACCACGATATCCTGAAGAAAATGAGCGTTATCTATTGACCAAATATTTGTAAATTACGACACTTTATTACGCATTATATGCAATAAATACTGTCACTGTACACAAATACTGACTGAGTGACACTAATCAGTCTAATGTCATGAGTAATGACTAATGTCGTAATGACTAATGTCAGTAATGAAGAACTTGAAGCCGAGTTGAGTAAACAGAACTCAGAAACTCGAGTCATTTGTTTTAGTCTTAGAGTTAGAGACCGAGAAATTCCTAATTAATTACGCTTGACATTTATGACCGTGAATAGGTTACCTAATTTTACAAACATATGCCTATTTAAGACCACCTACCCAAAATCCGATATCACAAATGTAGTTTATGTTCTAGCACTATGAATAACAAGAGACACTGCTTCGCCAGCCTCGCCCTCACAAAACGGTGCTGCCACCTCTCGTGTGTAATAGATGTTATTTATTATTTGAAAATATTGCTGCTCAAATATACTGCTCAACGTTATATATAATATAGCTGCTCAAAGTATAGCTGCTCAATGTATGTGTGTACTCACAGCAGTTGTTTTCGTCTGTATGCAAATGCGTTGTTGTCATTGCTGAGGTCGTAGTTGTTCATTTTGCTCTTGCGTGTAGGCCTACGTGCTCGCATGCGTTCGCGCCGCGTCCCGTGCCTGGGTACGTGCGCTCGGGCGTTCGGGCGTACGTTACACGTACGTATCTGAGCGTGTGTGCGTGCGTGTGTTGTGTAGGGCCTAATGTTGCATGTGCCTGTGCGAGCCTGCGTGCGCGCGCGCGTATTGTGTGTGTGTGTGCGTGTGTGTGTGGTGTGCTGTGTATGTGTGTGTGTGTGTGTGTGCTGTGTGTGTGTGTGTGTGTGTGTGTGTGTGTGTGTTGTGTGTGTGCTGTGTGTTATGTGTGTGTGTGTGTGTGTGTGTGTGTGTGTGTGTTGTGTGTGTGTGTGTGTGTGTGTGTGTGTGTGTGTGTGTGTGTGTGTGTGTGATGCAGTGGCGTAGCCAGCAATTGAAACAGGGGCGGGCCAAGGCGAGGGAGCGAAGCGACCGAGGGGGTAGGGTGTGCGGAGGGGTATGCCCACGGTAGAGGAGATTTTTTGAAAATTCGTGCATGATAATGGCATTTTCTGGAGCACTAAAGTTCAGTAATTAGGGGTAACTGTATATGAAGAAGTGGCATATGCTAATCGGCGCTTACTCACCCCGCTCCCTCGCTTTTAATTTTTTCCAGCTCCGAATCGATCAACGTGGGACGATGGCCCCCTGGCTGTGGCGCGGAAGGCTCTGAGGTTACACACGACGCAGTTGGTGGAGCTCCTCGCTTAGCTAGACCCAGTGAAATATGGTTGTAGCGAAGCGCAGTGTTTTTCCAGGGAAGGGAAGAAAAGAGTTAAGCGACCAAAAGACATGGCGATGAAGCAATTTACTCAGCGGGGGAGTGTGTTCCCTCCCACCAGTAGGGTAATTTTTGAAAAAGTATGTGGGCATCAAAATGGGCATTTTTGCGCATTTCATTTTCTATTATTAGGTGTAGGTTAATAGTGGATATACGACCAATCCCATTCAGGGCCCTTCTCTGCTTAATTTTTTGTAGCTCTCCGATCAAGAGGGGGTCATGGCCTCCTTGTGCCGCGCCCCCGTTAGTCCTCATTCATGGCACTGACGTGAATATTGGAATTAGTTTGATTTGTGTTGTTAGGCAGTAACATGCAATGTGCAATTTATCCGTTCATTAAACTGTTTCAAGTTCCTCATATAAAAGTTAAAGTTTAAATTATTTTTTTTTAAAAAGTAGAGGCATATTGATGAAATCGAAATAAAGATCTACGGGAAAAACAGGTAGATGTGTTGGAAACTTGCACTGAAAATAACCATGCAATTTATTTACATTACAAAGATTTACATTCGTTGTAGAATACAATAGCGTTAAAGATCACATTTAACGAATTTTTGTTCGTTATAAAAAATGTTTTTGCTTTTGCCTCTGATGAAGGAACTAAAAACCATATTGAAATTTGATTTCAAATAAAAACAAGGTAGCTGCAAAATAGCCGGCTCTATTAAATAAAAAGGAAATTTACCATGAAAAGATTGTTTTTGCCTCCCCTGATAGAGAAGGCAGTTTTGAATAGTGTTGACAATAGACATAGACAATTAGTGTTGAAATCGGGATTTGACAATAAAAGCGCGCCGGTTTTCTGCCAAAATGGCCGTATAAAAGTTCGAATATGATCAAAGTATTCACAAAGCATTTTCCATTTCTTTTATTCTGTCAATTAAGAGTTCAGAAGCCATAAAATTCAATCAAAGCCAACTTGCAACAACACAAATCTGAGCAAGAGAAGAAGTTATGCTCTTTCTTTTAGTCATGTTCTTTGTCTGCTGCAGAATCGTCTAAAACCAAAGTCACAGTTTTCTCGTCCGATTTTGCACAGAACATTTTGAGGATTTCGTTGACATTAATGTCAAGTTACACTAATCTCTGTTCAACGAAAAGGGAGAATGAGGCAAGAGAATCGTGGCTGGGTCATTGTAAGAATCGAGTTTCAGACTTGACAATGCTCATTTTAGAGATGTTCTCGTTCAGCAGATCAGAAGTAACAGGAATTGTGGCCAGTCTGTGAAAGACGCGTGAGAGGCAAAGGAAAAAAAAAAATTTGTTTTGTTTTGGCCCAATCAACAGGGGGGGGCCATGGCCGCCTTGTGCCCCCTTAGCTACGCTCAGTGCATGTCTGATATGTATAACGTACATTGTATACAATCGTGGTGCCATGTGTAAGAATTATGGTAACACTGTATAAGCATCTGTGATAACACTTGTATAACAATGACGTGGATAAAGCATTGTATACAATCTGGTAACATTGTATAAGGACCCTAGTACACACCGCGCTAAGCACAAAGCTTCTAGAGAGGAAAAACGACTCGAGAAGGAGTTAGTCGCAACCGTAAATCCAAGCATACATCATTGCTCCGGACCCCGTCTCTAAATCCACTGCGCTGATCCGCGATCCGCATGCCCAACATTCCTTCTCTTCTCCCTGTTCTCCTCTCCGTTGCCGGCCGCCAAGAGCGTAAGAGAACAGCAAACAAACACACAACAACAACAACGGGGAAGCAACAACAACAATAAAGACTACGAATGACGACGGTAGGCACATCCCGGCCCGCTGGCCGTACAGACAGAACTCACTAGTGATTGTGAATAAAACTCTGGGCAGTCAGGCCAGAAGCTAACACGAACTCTCTGTGGCATAAAAGCCGAGGTTCGGCACGTCACGAGGCGCAAAGAGCTCGTGCACAGTCACAGAGTCAGGTGCGCGGTGTTGCTACGAGAGCATTGGGTTTTGTCCAAGATCGTGCAGCCGAGCTCCTTATGTGCACGCGCGCACTGCGTGTATCATACACGCGGGGCGTGTCCATGCGGCCTGCGTACAATAGGTGCACGTGGATGTATGCTGCCGTGCCAAGATGCACATGACCGCGATGGCGTGGCATGTGTATGTGGCGAGCATACGTGTGTACATGCGCGCACGTGTGTATGTGCACGCCGCGATGTTGTGCACGTCATCCGTGTCGGCGGCGCATGCGTTGTACGCGCACGCATGCGTGTACGCGCACGCATGCGTGTACCGTGCCGCACAGCGTGTTAATGCGCACGCAACGCGTGTCATGGCGTACGCAATGCGTGTATGGCGCACGCATGCGTGGTCACGCGCGGACGCATGCCGTGGTACGTGGCACGCCAACGGGTGTATGTGCGCGCATGCGTGTACGTGCACGACCACGCGTGTTACGTGGTGTGTGTGTGGTTAGGGTAGGGTTAGCGGTTAGGGTAAGGTGTTAGGGTGAGGGTATATACTATATTATACGCCTAACCCTATATATATATATAGCGCCCTAACGGCTAAATATATATATATTAGGGTTAAGGTATATATATATATAGGTTAAGGGTAAATATACTAATAACCCTCACCCTATCTATATATATACCCGTCAACCTATATATATATATACTCTAACCCTAATATATATATATATATATATTATATATATATATAGGCGTTTAGGGTATATATATACTATAGGGTAGGGTATATTATATGATAATAACCTCACCCTAAGCCCCTACCCTACCCCTAACCCCGTACGGCACGCCCCACACACAGACGGCCCACGTACACGCGTGCGTGTAGGGTATATATATACCCTAAGCCCTATACAACGCTCCCACGCTTAGCTCGGTGGTCGACGCTGACGCTGATGCGAGTCGCGCAGACCACGCAGTCCGTCAGTGTAAACGCGGCTGCACACGAGTTCATAGCCGGTTGATAGCGATCAAGGTGCGAGGTGCAGTGAGATGGCAGGGTGTCAGTGGTGGTCATCTAGTATAAGGTTACAGACGGCTGGTGCAGCACTCACTGACTCAGCAGTAGGGAGTGGCGGCAGCCTAGCTTACATTGATCCCGTCGTCGGCACCCCCCCGATCTCTCCTTCGCTCATCTCTCTCTCTGCTCTCTCGGGTCATCTCTCTGCTCTCTCTCTCCTTCTTCGCTCTCGATTCTTCTCTCTTCTCTCTCGCGCTCTCCTTATCTTGCTCTTTGCTTCTCTCGTTTCTCTCTCTTCTCTTT